AGAGGTAAAACCCAACTCAGAGAAGACATTCATCTTTTTCTGGCTCACACAGGCTGCAGTAAAATCAAATATTTATAAATATGTTTGTGTTAAGAAGGGTTCAACTTTAATTATCTTTAATTTTCATGTGTTTATGTGTTTTTAATAGTTTAAAACAGATTGCACAGGCATATCTATTTTATGCTGACTTGTTAGCAAGTTTTTACTAGCAGGAGAGAAAAAAATAGATCTTTCAAAAACTTGGGACCTATCAAGATCATTTTTATTTCTCATTTATTATGTTTTAAGGAGTTAATTGGTAGCCAATATTTGAAATCGGTGAAACTATGGGAGAGAGTAAGTTTAGGGTGGCAGAAACAGATATGCACAACTGTGTATCATTAACAAATGAGTGACAAAATGTATGTGGACTGTTAACAGAAACATAAAAGAAACAAAAGGGACCAAAAATACACCCCTGTGGAACTCCATGTACAAAAACTGATCTTGTCTGATTCTATTTTAGCAATGAAAACTGCAAAAGAAACGATTGATCGAAGGTTAGAAAAATGCCAGTGGAAAACAGCTGCTCTTTAAACCTGTGTTCAAGATGCTGAAGAAGATTTTCATGATCAACTGGATTAAAGATGTGTGGAGATATAAGAGTATCAGAATAGGAAGGTTTTTTTTCTTGTCTATTTTTTTGTCATCTTTTTTTGTCATCTCATTTTTTGTTGTCTAAAAATAATCTCAAGGTTAAGGATGTTCCTAGCCGATCACAATCATTTTGATCATTGATATCTGAGTAGCTGCCACACTCTGCTTTCTTATTGACTTACTGTTTATGATTTTACATCGTATATACAGGCACAATTAAACAGCTGAAATGCAGCAGTCAATGTGATGTACCATTTAAATATGTCTGCAGTTTAGAAATGTTTCAAAATACAAAACAAAAGAGGTTTAATGGTTGTTTGCATTGTTCACAATTCAAGCATGTTTTATGTCAAACTGACAAAGCTACATTCAATACCACCAATTAAATTAGATGCTTTAAATCCTTGGCTGAGTACATAGAGTTGGCTCAGCTAGCTCCTAAAGCTATTGTAACATGTAATGGGTGTTAGCTCTTAAAGCAGGGCTGTTCAACAGACTTTAGAGCAGAGGTGCCCAAAGTGGGGCCAACCCATTTGATTTGGCCCAGCAGCAGTTGCCGATTACTAGGTTTCAATCTCCTGTCATTAGATTAGATTTTAGCACACTTGTAGGTTTATTAAATATCCAATGAACCTTTGCTGCCCAACCATACGTCAGACTTTCTCCAAGTACTTGGAGCAAAACAAAGAACAAAATAAACAAAACAAACATGGGCCACTACACTGGTAGCTATCTTAATCACAAAAAATAAAAGGACTTCACTTAAAAATAATTTGTATATCATGTATTATTTTTTTGTATTTAGCTGACAACCCTCTGATAGATCTTCATTTTGGCCCTCTCAGGGAAAAGGTTTGGGCACCCCTGCTTTAGAGGAAACTCTAAAGAGGAGAGATGTTTTAGCAGGACAGCAATAAGGCACAAGTGATTGCAGATCAGTTTACTGAATTTATCCCTCTGTTTTACCAACCTATCACTGTTAGACAAAATATGGCTTCACCTTTGGAGGCATGCCTGAAACTACATAACCAACGTAGCTCCACCTGAGCTACATAAAAGCTTTCACCTTCACCCAACATGTTTCTTTGATGATAAAAACAAAACAACTTGAGGTACACCCTGAGCATAGTTTGTCTTTACCTCAGCATAGATCTACTGGTGTCTGACACATGATTGCATTGATTTAAAAAAAAAACTTTATGTACTTATGTCTGTGATCTGCAAGTCTGCTCTAGAAAAACAAACAGCCAAAATAATGCCAGTACTTCACTCAGTATCCTTACTTTACAATGAGTCGAATTAAAACATCTTCACATAGCTACTTAAGATTATTTGTAACTCTGTCCAAGGCTGATTCTTTGCTGTGGTTGACCCTAAAACCAGACTGCTTCATAAATTTGTACCATCTTAAATGTAACTCATCCATCTTATGTGTACAGTTTAGGGAAATATATTTTATTTCAATGTAAGTATCCTAAATATGATGAGGTGTTTTACTTTAATGAAGAAACAATAAAAAATGCATATTAAAAATATTTATTTATTTATTTGACTGTATTGTTTGTTGTTTCCTGAATTGTGAACATCTCCTTCAGTAAAATCTTTTGAATTTTCTGAAGGTCTTGGCAGTCGGATGCTACCTATTCTCTCAGCATTTGAATGGGGAGGAGAAGGTGTGTGTGTGTGTGTGTGTGTGTGTGTGTGTGTGTGTGTGCAGTGAGCAAGTGTATCATCACCACCACTCCTGGTCGTGACTCAGAGCACACAATGCTTTTCGTCTCTTTCTCGAGCCCTTTATTTATTTTTAGCTGAGCAAGGTTTTACACACTTAAGCTCTAGGCCTGCACACACACACACACACATGCACACACGTGTAATGTAATACAAAATTCACATGTGTGTAATACAAAACATATAATTCATGATTTTTTGTGTTGTCCTAAAGGCCAGTCAGACCCTAATGCTGCATTTATTCTTACACTGTACTGCACCTGTTCATGGTGATTTTTTTCATGGTGACTGTTGGGCTCCTGTAACATTTCAAGACATTTCTAAAGCTGCACACACACACAGGTTTGGTTACGGTGGAAAATATTTACTGTACGTTTTTCACAGCTGTTGTTGCCACATGACAAGTGGACAGATTTGCACACTGGAGAACTCCCCAGTTAGAAAGACAGAACAAAACAAAACTTGTTATATGTTTGGCATTAATCAATATAAAAACTTCTTCAAGGTTTATAAAGTTGGAAACTACCATTTGCATAACTTCTTAACATCAGAATAAAGTGTCAGCCATGATTTGAAGTGTAAGTTAAAACGTGCAGGCCAACTAATGACAGACTTTGCCTTGGTTGAACTGTTTGAGGCTTACTGGCATAGTCAGAGATTTTAAAGGGGGACTTTACAGAGAGATTATGAATAACGAATATCTTACCTGTTGTAGATGACTCTTTGAATGAACACAGTTTGGAGAAATAAAGTTGAATTCTGATCAGAGTGTGGAGCTATTGGCTGGTCTGAGTGGAGTATAGATCAAAGTGGATTGCTGTCATCGCTAAAGAACTTTATTAAAAGAAAGAAAGAAAGAAAGAAAGAAAGAAAGAAAGAAAGAAAGAAAGAAAGAAAGAAACAAACAAACAAACAAACAAACAAACAAACAAACAAACAAACAAACAAACAAACAAACAAACAAACAAACAAACAAACAGATCACGCAAACTCAAAGGCTGAAAAACAGCTTCTACCCTTAAGCTATCAGTCTGCTGAACTCAAGCTGCACCTAATTCTGCTCATCTCTAC